CTACCTACCTACCTACCTACCTACCTACCTACCTACCTACCTACCTACCTACCTACCTACCTAACCTATACACACTCCCCCCCACCTACCTACTGTATCTCTCTCTCTCTCTATCTCCCTTTATCTACGTACCTACCTACCTACTCTCTCTCCCTCCCAACCTACTGTATTTCTCTCTCTTTCTCTCCCTCTCTAATCCTTTATCTACTTACCTACTTTTTAAAAAAATTGCTTCTTCAAAACCATCTTATACTCCGGTGCATCTTATACTCCGAAAAATAAGGTAATTAGCTAGTTAGGTGCTAGCTAACTAAATGGGCAAAAATTTGTTATTTTGATCCATATTCTCAGCTTGCTGATCCTATCCATCCATGTTATTCATTATCTTCTATCTTTATTTTTCTATTTCACTCAACATAGCTTTTCTAATGCATCCACACATTTAATATGTCCAAAGTAAGTGAGTTTCTGCTTGCTGATTATTGCCTCAAGGGAGTTGTCAGTTTTTATTTCATCTAAGAGCCTCACCAATTCTGCCAGCAGTCCATGGTTCTCTTAGAAACCAGCTGTACTTTAACACTGGAAAATCATTGTTTTAACTATTCTGATCTTTGTTTCCATAGAAATAATCTTTTCCTTCATGATTTTGTTTATGATTAATCTTTCTTCTCCAACAGTGTCCATCTTCCATCTATTCTTGAATCCAAACGTCAAAATTACCTAAAATTACCTTTCCACCTAAAATTTCACTAATTATACTGTTGAGTCTTCCTTTGTCTTCTTAATATATAGCATTAATCTAGAATTTTGACTATCTCTACTATCAATTAACAAAGGGTGCCATCTGTATTCATCTTTTTGTTGTTAATAACTTCCCCTTCTTTTGCCTCTTTTCTCACCAACTCTTCAGAGATGATCTTGAAGGATAGAGTGAGAAAGAAGAAATGCTAAAAATCTTTCCTTCTATAGTATGGCATAATTTATGTATTACTGTATAATAAATACAAATGTAATATAACTACAGTAATATAAGCAAGGGCTACCAAGTTTAAATATGCATATTTAGGAAAACTTCAAGTGGCAAAAATATTTTTAGTAAATATGAGTAAGAATAGACAGAAAGCTAGGCCTTATGGTAAAATTCCATTTTAAAGTGAAACATATATACTGTACGTACGTTCCAAAATGACTAAGAAATGCTGCAATATATTCCCTTCTCTTATGGTAACCCTGGATAACATATTGAACCTATAAAATAAAAGAAGAAATGAGTGCAATTATGCTAAAACTAAACTACAAGAGTATTAATTTGGGAGAGTTTTTGCTTGACTAATAATATAACATACATTATGTATAGTGAAATTGACAGTATAAGTCTGGAAAAATATTTTTACATGCATCAGCAGCAAGAGGTTGGTGTATTAAACATATATAATAATTACACATATTTTACATTTTAAGGATTAACAAGACATTGATTAAACCTTATAATAATATTAGATTGTGCTATTTTACATAATGGCAATATATTATCCATCTGGAATTTCATACAATATTTCATAAATATTTTAAAGCCTATGGTTTCTAAGCATTTTGTTTCATATCAAAAAGCAATTTTGTACATTTCACACCTCTGAAATTTCCTGGGCCAACGTTTAAGTGTTGCAGTTAGAACATGTCTATCATGTTTTATCAGTTCATAATTTCTGCACAATATTCTTATTTATTTATCACACATTACATAGTTGTCTGTCTACTAATTGGAACTCTAAACAGGGAACAATTTTTTGTAGTTTAAAAACAGATCTGTGTACTTGCAATTTTTTTTAAAAAAAAAACAACAACTAACCAATAGAGAGCGATAACAAAAACAACTCTAAAGATAGATTCCGGTATAATTATAGAAATGCATTTGGAAGTATATTTCATAAAGTCATAATATATAAGATTCTTTTAAGCAAGAGCAATTTAAACAATTTAATAAAGGATACTTTCCACTATTTCATAATCAGATTGATGAAAACTGTGACACAAGTTGTACAGATGAAATGGAGAAGGCTGTGCATGGCTTTTTCAACTATTTCTGGATCACCACAGAGTGACCTTCCACTAGGAAATTTCACTTTTGGTTTTGAAATTTCTGACAGAACTAACCTCTGGATTTACCAATTTATCAAGAATAATGGATTTTTACCCTAGTCTATAACCCTTGTATTGTAACATCTTGGAAAACGTTTGTTTAGTCTGGATATTACCTTGTTGGTTAACAGTTGGCATACTTGGGGAACATAATCAATGAGGCAGCCTCCACCTGGAAAAGCAGGAATGAGAAGAGCAGACGATCCACCAAGAGCACTGGAAAAATAAGTCCATCAAGTAACATCAGATACAGCTTTGTGATTCTTTCAAAGACATACATTTTCCATATAAGACATAACATATTCTTATATTCAGATATGTTACATGTAAAAAAAAGCATAGCATGTTATATATATTCTATTACATCAACACAAAAATTAGACAACTGTTAGACAACAGTTATTAGACAACTGTTTCAATGTTTGAGTTAGATACGGAAACCAGACCTACATCTACGTTGAGTGATGAAGAAAAGCCACTGAATCCCACATATCTTACCACATACTAAAAAAAACCATAACATGCATGTATTTAAAACCAGGATGAATACGTTTATTGGCCTTTTCACTTTTGTAAACAGAAGGAGATGAAGATCCAAAAGATTTCTTTGCCACTTTTTAATTCCAGCTTATGATAACTTTTGGTTGGTCCCTGAGCTTGGCTGTTTGCTTGAAGCCATTTAATTATCCAACTAGGTAACATCATCATATCAATCATCATCACAGGAATATATTTTTTATTACTGATGATGATGATGATAACAACAAAAATAATAAATTTAATAAGTAATATATTAATATCTGTAACAATACCTCTAAAATTATCAAATATCAGCATCTGTCTATCCCAGGTCCTTGAGAAGGACTCAATAGGTGCATGAAAATGCCAAATTCAGTGTGAATATCTGCCTAACTGTGCGATGAATCATATACAATACTACAATTAATAATGTTTTTTCTTTATGGTCCAATATGGTTTTTTACAACTGTTCATTTTAAATGGTCTCTTTTCATAGTATGATCCTAAGCAAAGCCCTCATATAAGACTGAACATTTTATTCTTGTTTTTAGACTAGACTTCCAGGACATTGGCAATCTAAGCAGTCAAAGTAACAGGCTAAATAGGATAAGTGGAGACAGCTAGACTTTTCTCACTATAACAATAAATAATCTGGAGCCACATTTTTTTCAATCAACTATGCTAATGGAATAATTTATGAAGAAGAAATATAAACTTCTTTCAAAATAACATCTGAGCATATTTTGTTCCTTATTTATGAAGTTCTCACACTGGCTTTATTTTAATCTTGAAATGGTTACAAAGCAACTAAAAATAAGATTTCAGGGAAGAAATGGTGAACTGAAGAAGGCAATGCTAAAAACAAAGCTGACACTTCACTCTTAGTTAAGCGAAGCACTGGCAAGCAGTACTGCTCTTTGTAATTCTTCTCTAGACATGATGAGGACTTGAGATCACCCACAAGTGCTTCAGAAAGCCGTTCTTCGTAAGAGCAACATAGCAGTCTCAGGCACATTAAGAGTTCTAGGAAACGAGGGAAAGTCATCTTTGCTTAAAATGCAGATGGCGCCTTTATGAACACTGAGTTTGCATATTTCCTTTTCTAATCAATATGATACAGGTAATTTTTAGCTGGTTCTTTCAACTAAACATGAGAACATGGTTTTTTAAATAAAACATATCACATTTAAATAAAATATTAAAAATACAAACTCCCAGTTGTTCCATTAACCTTCAAAACTAAATACACAAGTGAACTGA